GGGAAATTACAGAAACATAAGAAAGTATAAACTAGCTAACTAAAGAAAATGTATCAAGATAGACTTTGTAAGAGACTGTATCAAGAACTTTGTTTCTGTTTGGTCTTACCACGTAAGGTAGAGAAGCTGACATATTCTCATTTTTTTCTACCAAAATAAGGACAGAGAATGATCTTCACTTTCTAGAAGGCCTTAAGGTTATAATTYGTTCATTCTAAATATATTGCAATAATATGTTTTTCCTTATTGGCTTGTCTGCCTGAGTTTTGAAGAAAGGTAGGTTATTGTAAAACACATCGCCCTTGTTCTTCAGATGGCATATGGATCATATTTCTTTTTCAAATGTGATACTAGTGGAGACTGAAAAGGAAATGTAATTTTTACTGTCACAAATACTTTATAGGTATAGCCGAAACATGTAAATTAAATTTCTAGTAAATCAGGATTTGGTTTCCYTTTAGCTTTTTTCGTATTAGACTACAGGTGATTTACATGCAGAGAACTGAAGGAAAGAATGTTTTCCTAAGTAGCAAGGCAAATGCTTGGAAGTCAGGCACTGCCCGTTATTGCCTKGACCTTCTCTTCTGCTCCTTCACGGGGAAAAAGCTAACATTAAATCAGATCATTTAGTGAGACTGCAGTTCTTATGCAACATAGCTTCTTGCACTAATTGTCAAACAACTCATTTTCTCATTGTCTGCCTTACATAGCCTTTCACAGTGCCCTATATTTAGTGCATATGTTCTGTAGGTAAAGTGCGAAAGCCAGACAGGGACTTGCTTAAGGCGTAAGAGTGCAAACCCTGGAGGCTGTGCTTATTTATTCTGGTAAAGACACCTTGCTGGAAAACACTCTGCAAGGCTTCACTTGCAGCTTCTAAGCACTAAGTGCTTTTAACTATCATGGGTTTCTGAAGCAGAACACTACAAAATGAGATATTGCTCTATTTATGACCACTTGTCACTTAAATGAGAGTCTGAACTCTCTCTTAGTCTGTGACCATAATAGAAATATGCTTTTTTTGCGTCTTTGAATTAATTGTGACTGCCATGGCACCATTCTCTCTATTCTCTACATGTCGATTATTGTAGACACATAGTGTAATGTAAGACCATGATAGTAAACTTGGCTGGGCTTCTGCAGCTCCTTTAATATACAAACACAGCTTATTACCAGAGCATCACTGAAGGTAATCTCAGTAGTTGTTCCGCAGTTTAAAAAGAGTGAAAAGAATCGTACTGTGTCCCTAAAAAAATTATCATTGAAAAAAGCAAAAATGAAACCATCATTATGGGAGAGACCATGTCCTTGCTCCCTTACATTTTCGTTTACAAATCAGTGAGAAGGAGAGCAGGAGTTGCTCTCTCTCTCTCTCTTTTTTTTTTTTTCTCCTTATGTGTGTATCTCTGGAACAAAACACATGTTTCTTCTCATGGTTGAGTCCTGGAAGTTGCAGTTTAAACTTGATGAAGTGTTTTATTCCCCCAGATAAAAATAAATAAATAAAAAATTATATTTAAATGCGCTTGCTGATGAGGAAAGTCAGGAATCTTCCTAATTAAGACATTTCTTAGAAAGGTAAAATTTTTATCTTAGAGCATAAAACACTTCATCAGTTTTAAAGCCACATCTGCGAGGACTGGATCAAGAGCAGAAGCAGACATTTTTCTTCATTCTAGCTTGTCTGTGAGTTTAAGACTTTTAACAACAGCTTTAAAAAAAGTTAGAAGCAGTTAGAAACACTTGCAATATAATAGGGATAAAAGTGCCCTCCCTCCCTCTGTTTTTAATCTGTTTCTGTAGATGGGATAAACTACAAGGTTGAATTGGTAACTGGATTATTGCCTCATAAAACAGCACGAGGTTACTATTATCCTTTAATTTTATATCTTTATTAGGGAGTAATGCTGGTCTTATTTAAAACGTTGACTTCTCTAATGTTTTTTCTCCTCTTTTACAAATTTATAAAACTAAACCCTAAAGGATTTGGTCTAAGTGCAATTGGCATAACTACCTTTGTAAAAGTCATTGTGTTTGCAGTGGGTTATAATCAAGAGCTTTAGCTGGGCTCAAAATGTAGCATGAATTAGCTGATAATATCTTAAAACATTAGAAGTAATACTGATATAACATTAATTTAGAATTCTGTTTTTAAAAAGCTTCATTTTCAATATTTGAATTTTGAGAGAACATAAACAAGAGAGCCCCAATGAAACTATTATATAGCATGTTTGTATTATATAGTATATTTTTGCAGAAGATGCATTTAATAGAATGTGCATTTTTGCAGAGTTTAAACAAGCTTCTCTTGGAATTTGGTAAATAAATTTTAAGGTCAGTCATATCTGAAGAAGACAGATACAAGTAGCATATTTAATTTTGCATTCTATTGTATATGTTTTACAGAAATCGTCCATATGGACTGACTAAACCGGTACTTTTTAAGCTATGTGGAGTTGCCTGGCATTTGTTTGTTGATGGTGATAGAGTGAAAATAATTAATTTGCATCTGAATTTTGGGAAGCACAACACACACACACACTGACGGTGAAGCAGAGGCTGTTCTTAATAGTAAAACTCCTGTTAGAGTTACCTAAGATTTATTCAAAATATTGAAATACTTAATTTTAAAAGAAAAAAAATCACATCTCCATTGATTTCAGTGGGCTTTGGTTAAGTTCATGATTAATATGAAAAGAAACAGGAATATGGGTGTCCCTCTTGTGATATGCTTCCATGACTCAATAATAGTAGAGATTCATGAAGAAAGTGAAGATCCTGCCACTCTCTTATGAACGTGCAGAATAGCAGCATTTGCTATTTGAATGTAAAAGTCRGCTATTACCTTTTGGTCAGTAAACTTAAAAACTAGGCAAACACTTTGATCTGAGTCTTGTGTTTTATTGTGGTCTGCTTGGCTATTGTTTTCCAAAGGCAGTCTTACTGATGCACTAGTGTGCACATATTCCAGGCTCTTAATTAAATTAAGCTAAATTGAATTACAGCTAAAATCTAAAAAAATAGATTTTGTGTTAAGAATATTTATGGAAYATTTTGGATCAGTTCTCATTCTGTGAAAATTCACCTTTGTATTAGGAATGGTTGTGTCTCTGGCAGGGGTGATGAATAAAGGCCTGCTAGAGGAAATCCAGTGYAAAACTCTTTTCCTTCAAAATCCTCATTCTTCTCAGTAGTCTCTTGTCTTATGTTTTGCTATATTAAAAAGTCTTTTTTAAGGAAGACTTGCAATTCCCTTTCTTTCTCAGTTGGACAAAAGGCCGCAGACAATTTACAAAAATCCAAGGGTTTTGGTGCTGCCCTGGTCATGTGATAACTATTTTGGTGAAGCCATGTCCAGTGAAGACTTCCATGGCTTGAATCTTTTTTGAAATGTAGTCTGAAGCCACTTTGAAATTTCAGACAAGGGTTCTGTATGTTTTGCTGTTAAGGTGAACTATGTGCAGTAGGATCTGTTTGCAGTTGGTCTTTTCCTAGTGTAAAGTAATGGCGAAATTAATGAAATGCTAATGAAAATCTTGAAACTTAGACAAGAGGGGCASAAAACAGGAAGGTATAATGTTGGCGGCAGGAAAGAGAGGAAATAGAGGTGAAGCAAGAAAAAAAGTAGATTTCCGAGTGTATGTGTTCTGGGAAGGGCTCCATGCGAAATGCAAGGGAATTTGGGGACTTACAAATTGGACAGGAAATGGGGGCATGGCAGGTAGGTGCCTGTTTGAGGTAAGAGAGAAGGAATTCATAGAAAAAAATATGGTTATACATGGGGATATATGGAGRTGAAATGGTTCATAGCTCCAACTGTTTAAATTAATTGTTAATTGTAATAATTGATAATAAATTGTTTTACTCAGATAAGTAATAGTTATTTTTATGGGGGTTTAATAAAGCATAAAATAAAAGAGGTAATTGGTTAAAATTTAAAAGCATAAAACAAAAATAAATCCATATTAGGTATATGTTTTTGGGAATATTCCTAGGTAATGTTTTCTCCAGGTAGTTAGTGGATAATCCAAATCAAGTTAGTTTGTTTAGGTGCCTCAGCTAGTGCAGCTGCATGCTGTTATATGCAAATCAAAACTGTTTCAGTTTTGATTTGTGTTATGATTATGAAATATCCCTGGCACTTGTTGATGTTTAAATTACTCCAATCCACTCACAACTGTCAAGCAGATCTTTTGTGAGAACAGAGACTGTGATCTAACTGTGTTTTTTTTTTTTTTTTTATCTAAGGTTACTTTAAGAATTACTAGGCACATCATTTAGAACACAGAATTTTCATATTTAAAATATTATTATTTGATGAGAGTGATTTCATCCTATGGGAGAAGGCATATGCAGGGTAGATAATTAGGATAATGTATGTTGTTTAGCACATTGTAGGGAGCTGCTTGTTTTATACCACTTTGTGTATTTTATGTAATCCTAAAGGAATTTAATGGACCTTAGAGAGGGGACTTCATGCTGATAATTGCATAATAACCTTTTTCTGCCAGACACTTAATGACTAAAAGGTTATCATTAAATGCACATTAAGCATCATTGTTCTGTATTCCATAATCATCTTTTTAATATGTTCTCCCAAGGGTTATCTTTTGTTCTATAACTGAATAGCTGCCTGTGTAAAACATTTCAGCTTTTATCTTTTTTTATTTCATTTAATTATTTTTTTTCCATGTAGGAGGTGAAGAATTATTACCTAGATGTGTCTGTGTATGTTTCTATATGCTAAATAGCGCCCCAAAATAATACTGCTCACGTTGAAACATGTTACGCATTAGGCTTCACAGCAGTCATGGGAACTTTGCTGCTGATTTCAGTGGAACTAGACCCTCAATTAAGGTGTTTGCTTATCGTGGATTTGCCTTAGAAATCAGGCCCACAGACTAACACATTTTATTTTTTTTCCCCTTTTCAATGTAGAGCACTGAGCTATAAATTTTGAAGATAAGACAATTTCTGCTTGTGGGGGAAAAAAGAAGTGAGTAATCTCCATGGAAGACTCTCAGGATCTAAGTGAACAGTCAGTAAGTACCAATAATGCTGCTAAACTTTATGAAATAGATAGAACTACGTTCAGTGTGTGAAGAGATTTTACTTTATATTTGGAAATTTTGCTAAGATATTGGGAGAGCTTCTGGACTTCTGTATTTAACTCTTTTCTTAGTTCATACTTGGTTATTAATCTTGGTTATTAAGAGATTAATATTTAATTTATTAAATATTAAAGATAGTATCTATATAGGATTTGGTAGAACTTAAATTGGTAGGAATGCTCATGGATATAATTCAGGTACATTGGAAGAATAAAAGGTTAATACAGAGCACAGAGGTATATACTTTTATCACATGTATATCCATCATGGTTTGGCAGTTTTGCCAAAGCAAGTGTTAATAAAAATATGAGCAAGAACTTTCAGATGATTAGACTACTGCAGTTTTTTTTTTTTTTTTAGGATTCTCTTAGATTTCAAGAGATTCATGAGAATTGGCAGTAGCTCTCCTTGTCCTGTATTAAATGGAGATTCCTCTTGTGTTTGGTAAAATAGAGGGGAAAAATAAGGTGGACGTTTTTTCTCCTTTCTAATTTTTCCTTTCCTTTAATGATGCAGTCTACAAACTTCTTCAGCCATCAGGCTACAGTTTTGAGGAAGTAGCATGTTCTGGTCAATTCTAAAATTGCCTGTGGGCCTGCCATCCAAAGTATTGGCTTCATTTTTAGTATTTTTAATTTCTTGTGGTCACAGTATTGGAGGGATTTGTAAGCAGCATATTGCCCACAAGTGTCAGCTTGGGATCAGCATACTAAAGATCAATAAAGGGTTTTCATATTTATTTTTCTGACTTACTGAAATATTCCATGTAATAAAATAATGGTAATGCATTTTTATAGCAGAAACTTTTATGAGTAACACAAGGGCAAAGAACTGAGTATTTTAAAAATGAGATATGTCTGAAAAGAAAGTAACATTTTAAAATGTCTGTTTTTTTTTTTAAGCAAGGAGTACTTTACTCCTGAATGGGTATCTCATATCTGAGACTTTATCCTGCAGTAGAGTTTTTATTGCTTATTTAAAATGAGATGAAATTGGAGGCTCATAACAGCATCTTAAGTCATCATGGTGGCACTGCTTGGGACAGCTGCGTTTATTTATGCGTTTAAATTGTTCCCAACCAAAACTTTACAGCATGTAAGAGCTACATGGTTTCATAATTTAATAAAGTTTTATAAAGGTCATAAAAGATTAAGTAGAAGTTCTTGTCTCTTAGCATGAGAAAGAATTATTTTATGCAATATACCTAGTACAGTTATTAATAGGAAGTAGAAGAGACAGTTTAAGCTTACTGCAAAATACGTTTTTCATAGTAGTTAGGATGTTTTTGGAGCACTGGAGGCCTGATAAATGCATATGTTAATAATGATTTTATTATAGCAGTCTAATTTTTGTAATTTTTTTCATCGTTACTGCATAGTTTTATGCTAATATGTGAAAATGGTCTTGCAGATTACAAACTGARCTGAAACTTGCATTAAGACACTTGGAAATGGAGAAAGAATTTGCTGCCCTTAAGCTGTTATTATAGAGACACTGATTTAAGGCAAGAGTTTATTCTTTTACGTTTCTGATGAACAGTGTCAGGGCCTCACCAGAATGGGTGAGAAGATTCCCCTTTCATCACTGTCTCCATCCTAAGTATGCACTCAGTCTCAGATCTAATCTGAAAATATTTGGTGCTATCCTGGAAAATGGATTTGTGGTTTGAACCTTCTCTACCTAGAGCAGATACCGAACCCCATTTTCCCTGTTCTGTAAGTCTTTTTGGTGTTTTGTCATGGTTAAACTCTCATCAGCCAGGATTTAGCTTAGCTCTTTACAATCCATAGGGCAGGATGCTGGGTCAGAGACCCCAAGTAGAAAGAGGTTTGTGTTCTCTGGGTACCACAGACTTGGATGGGTCAAGCTCCTGGAAAGCAGCAGATACTTATCCTCTGCCCTTGCTGCTTGCACTGCACTGATGTTTTGTCCTGGTCATCTCTAGGCAGTTTCTGCCCATGATGCAGGATTTCTAGTTCCTCACATGTTTCAAGGAATGGAGGTACTGAACTTCAGCTGCAGGATTTCACTCTGGGGACTGGGTGCACGAGATCAACATAGTGGAAATTCTAGGAGCCTAATAATCTGCCCTGCGCTGAAAACTTATTAGATTGTGTGAAAAAGCCTGAATGCAAGACCTACGTTAAAGCTGGAGCTGGCTTTTTGCCCTGAATTTGGGTATTGGTTATTTTGAAAGATTGGCTGTCTCTGCAATTGAGAAAGTTTAGAAAGTGCTTGCTGTTGGATAATATGTTTGATGGGCAGTCGGGCTTTCCAAATAGAGAGATGCCTTCTTTTGTGTTCATTTTCCCGAGCAGYTCATGAGAACCTTTCAGCCGCAAGAGTGGAGGCCGGACACAGTTTCTTAGGTTAGTTAAGTTACAAGGGTATTTTTTGAGTTCTGTATTTAAGAAAATAAATAAATAATGTTAATTTCTCCAACACAGTCCTACAAAAACACAGTGACAGGTCTTTTCCATATTTTTGAGAACCTTAATGCTGTTGTAGCATTCTCTCTTCTTTTAAAAGAAACTGATAATTGTCTGATTCTATGTTTTACATCCTTATACTATTTCACAGTCAGGTGAAACTCTCATGATTAGAAGTAGGAGCAATTTTGTAGCATCTCAGGTCTTGTTTAAGAAATAAATTCTTCTRTCTTAGTCCCAGAGAAATGATCGCATGTCCACATGGTGCTTCAGGAATCTAAGGGAAGCCCTGTTCTTTGCCTCTGGAGGAACTGCATCTGACTGAAATGAGCAGCTGCCGTGTGCTCAGAGACGCCTGTTTGATTAGCTGGAATACATACCCAGTTTATTGTATTATGTCACYAATTTATTTATTTTCCTATTTTTATTTGTAGCAAACTCGTTGCTCTTGCAACATTTCAAATCCTTAGGTAATGCCTGACCAGARTGTTATATGAACTCCTTGCTTGCAGTCCTCCAGCATAGAGCTGCTGTGCAGACAAATTGGTTCTGCTTGCTTTCCTTGGCCTTCTAACCCCCCCTCTCATGTGGCAGGGATGGGGGAAWCTGGTCTTGAGGTTGCATAGCAATCAAATGCACGCTGAACTGAGGGCAGGTTTATCACACTTCAGGTCYCCAGTCTTTACACACAACTTTGTAAGTAAAAGCTGCAGTTTGAACGTGAGCAGGGAGATGGTGGACGTTGCTCCCCCATGCAGAGAAAAGCTGGGATCCGTGAGCCACACCGCAGTTTTCGCTGTGTTTGTAGGTGGTGCCGTTTCTCTGGGACCTTCCCTCCAGCTGAATCCTAAAGACCCCAGGATTCTCCTTTTCTTTCCCAGGTCAGATGCAGAGTACCCTTGTTGCACGCTAATGTACAGGAGGGAAATTTATTGTTTATTGATAATAAAGTTAAGCTTAAGAATATCCTAGAAGAAAAGAAAGAGAATAGTAAGTCATGTATTTCACAGAGGAAAGTGAACAAATGGTCCTTTTTTATATTCTGGTGTGACATCTGTCACAAAAAATGTTTAAACCACATATGCTGGTTTTACACAGAGAGAAAAATGTAATGTTAATAATTGTAGTTGCTACGGTTTTTATATACAACGTATAGAGATACAATGAAGTACATCAGATCTTGCATTTAGTAAGAACCTTTCATTTAATAAAGCTTTGCAAGACTGCTTTTGGAGATTTTAAATAAGAGGATAAAATGATAAAATGCTGCTTAGCATTTTGTTGTGTCCTGCTGTAGCAAACAATCGTAGCCCTTTTTTTTTTATTTGCATCTCGCTCTTATTTGTAGTTCTAGCTGTATTAGTAGGAGAAAAATAATTTGGCTGCTAACTTGCTAGTTTAGGGTTTCAAAGGGCCTTATTAGAAACTGATGTAATTTCATCCTCTGGCCCTTTTATATAACAGAGTGCATATTTAGATTACTTCATTTTAACCTAGAATTAAACAATAGATTGCAGTACTGTAGGACAGAATGCTAGCAGATGTGTGAGGCTTGAACTGAATAAATCCGTTTTTCATCTTCGTGGAGCATGGGCAATCATTAACACTGTGCAGTAGGTAAGTTATTCATTTTTCATCAGATTATGTAGGCTCGCATACTGCATTTATACCTATACTTGTAGCCGGCATTATTTCCATGTTTTCTTTTTTTCCTTTTTTTATTGTCTTTTTAACATGTGAAAGTATCAGCTGTGATGCCCTTGCAGATCAATTTTCAGGTGTAGTTAGTTCATTGTCGCTTAGTCCCCAAACCTGCTGCTTTTAGCACAGCTGTGTTACAGCCCTCTGCGATGGRCACATCTCGCGCTGTGCAAGTTGGAGCACTGTGCTTCAACAGAAGCCAATTTCAGTGAAATGAAAATTGTTTTCTACCCTGTCTTATTTAAATATTTATTATTCTATTCCTTTGGTGCACAATAGCATGTTGTAATTTATATCCCCATAATATTATTATTTATAAGACTTGCTATATTACAGCTAATTCACCTTTTAATCACAGAATTCTTAGTTGAAAAATACCTCTGAAAGTTACCTAACTTCCAGTAATAAATTGCTGGCATTATGCTGAAATACTTTGTTGTTATGAAAGCAATTGAATTTATTAGATATCAGCGGGTACACTCTGAAGGAATTACGGATTTAATAAGTAAAAATGGTTGCCTTAGTGAGTCATTATTTGGTTTTAACTAAAAATAATCATTGAAAAAAAGGCATAATTTGAAGTCAAAGTAAAAATTAACATCTTTTGAATATGCTTTTGAAGCAGCATATTAGAGAGTTTCTTCCATATTTTTTTTAAAACCTTTGCTGGACATGGAAATAGCCACAGTGACCTTGCTTGTCCTAGAAGACCCCAAATAATCACCCATTTTGAATTACATCTAGAAAAAGGTTGTTAAAAAGAATATTAGAGGAATTGAAAGAATATTAGAAAATTCTTTC